TGTATGTATGTATGTATGTATGTATGTATGTATGTATGTATGAATGCATGCATGCATGCATGCATGCATGTATGTATGTATGTATGTATGTATGTATGTATGTATGTATGGAGAGGGCAAGTTGTGCTCTTTTTTTCTCAACCATGAGTCATATCAACTGTAAATAAAAAAACATACATCCAAAAGTCATTCCCTAACTCCTGTGTTTCTGTAGCTGTCAAATAACCTCTACAACAACATAACGAATCTCCTAACATTATGTTCTTGCTTTTTGTTTTGGTGTGCCACTCCAGGACTCCACATAGAATGTGTGGAGTCACCACTGATTTCAGATTGAAACAACAGAATGAACAAATGAATGTGCTGCAAGTTTAATAAAACTCGCTCATTACGTAATTAGCGCCTTTAAACAGCTCTGATTCGCTTCAGTTGCTGATTGACAGCGCTCTTTAGTGTTCTCATCCAATGATTGAGAGAAGGGGGCGGGCACTATTCTACTGTAATCAATCCTCTGATCAGCGCGTGAGCTTCTCTCGCACTGTCTGCCTGCTAGTTTTAAGAAGCGGGGAGAAGCAAAATAAATAAACAAATAAATATAAAAAAGGCAGCCAGTCCGTACAGCTGACCCGCCACTGGAAGGGCAGCAGGACAAGGGGGAGCGGACATGGGTGAAAGATTCGTGGTAGTTCCAGTTGACGCTTCAGGGACTGGCGCCAGAGAGGCAGAGCGCTCGGACTCTATCGTACCCGACCCGGCATCAGACACCGGCGGCAGCGGCGGCAGCAACGGCTGCGCGGGCACAGCCGGGGCGCAGGAGCCGCTGGAGGACTCGGTGTTCGAGCCCCAGGACCCCGACGTGGCGGTGCCTATTCTGAAGTACAGCAGGGAGCCTAATAAGTACGGTAGGACAGCTGCCGTCCGTGGCCCACTTCTTATCTTGTCACTCAATTGTCTGCGTGTCTTCCTGAGGATTAAACCTCCGTGTTTGACTCGCGCGCTGTTTGTGCACCCCCCGATACCAAAGTTAGCTCGTGGAGAAACACTGGCCAGAATGAGAAAATATGAGGATTTAGTTGGGCGAAATTTCATTTAACTCCTAACAAAACGTGTTCAAATAAAACCGCAGTTCATTAAAATCATAATAACAGAGAAACTGAACAGCGTGCGACCTTCATGAACTTCCTGTAGTTTTCTTCTCCAAAAATATTATCTCCATAAATAATATATTTACATTGTTTTGACACCTAAAAGTAGTTGGGTGTTTGTTTTTTTAGTGGGGCGCCAAACAAAACGAGCTGATTTGAGGACCTCTGATGCTCCTTTCTGCTCCTATCTGAAACAACAGTGTTTCAAATAAACAACACTAAGCTGTCTTTTTGTCAATATTCTGCAGTGAGCTCTGTTTGTCAGCTAAGTTGAAACTTTAATGTTTAATTCATACATTTTATTATTTGCATTTAACTTTTTCATCTTTTGCTCAATAAATTGTAAAGTTTTGTTTGCAGTTACTATATATTTTATTGTCAGCAAAACCCCGCAGTGTAATTCTAAGTTATTTGGATTGTTTTATTGTTTTTTTTATTTCTCCAGTAGTTGCAAACAAGGTGTCACTTATTCCTGCAGTTTGATAAAGTGCAGTTCCAACCATTTTTGAACAGCTGCAACAGTTCAACAACTTCAAGACGATTTAAACATACACTAAATTGTTCTAGACTAAATGCAAAATCTTTTATTATTATTATTATTTTCATGAACTATATATCCAGGTCAAATTTTTGATGGTGAATTTGAGGTAAAAACAAATTCATGTCAGTGCAATGGATGAAACTCAGGGTTGTAAATTCAATTTCTTAAAAAAACAGTAAGATTCTAATGAGACTACATTTCTTCCATTCAAGTCCATGTAAAATAAAATATAAAAAACCCTTTTCATTAATACCATGACAAAATTAAAAATGGCTTTTTCTCAAAAAATTTTAGACTTTCCTATCTGATACATTTGAATGACCAAGTAGTGCCACAGTAATCAATATGTGAAGATAACATNAACATGATTATGTTGCTTTGAATTTACTCAACTCAGTTAAGTGGAACCAGGTAACATAACATGGTTAAGTAAATCCAACATTTCATTTTTAGAGTGTAAAAGGAATCAACACAACTATGTGATTCATAAAACTTTAGTATTAGTTATTTTTATTTGCTCATTGTTCACATTGAAACAATCTACTTCATAAAGTAGTTAGCAGTTAGTGATTTGTGAAACCTTAATTTTATTTGTGAACGTTCACAAAAGGGCAGTTTTATTGTTAAGGAATATTTGAGTTAATTAAATGGAGTAGTTATAACGTTGTCCAAATGCCAAAATAAAGTCAATGAATTGTTTTTTAACCTTTGCAAATATGATAAAAGTTTCACAAATCACAAACTGTGTTTTAGACATTTTTCTCTTAGCTTAGTCTGGGTTTTAACTTTCCCATTTATTGCCATGTGTGAACTGGACCTATAGTCCAATGTGGTCCAGATGCCAAATAACACCTCTAGAGCTGTTTCAAATAGAAAAAAAAAAGGTTTCACAAATCACAGAGAGTGTTTTGAAGATTCTGCCTTGAGTGTAGAATAATGTAGTCAAGGTTTGAACTGCAATGATTTTGGAACTAGCCCTACAAATATCACCATTACAAAGTCATTGGGTACAATATCAATATCACAAAGGACTGTTACTTCATGGAAGTTATTAAAACAATGGGCACGCATCCGTGTTTAAGCCAGCGAGCTAAATTACAGAGTAGTAACGGCTTGATGTGTAGTTGGGTAGTCTGTTGTGTGCCTTGACTGGTGATCTGTGAACACGTGGGTTTGTTGATCTTCCTGGTTGTGTGTCGTGTTCATGGTGACAGCATCGTTTAAATGTAAGATGTTTATGTGTGCAGTGGTCCCAAAATGACTTCACAGAGGCTCTTAAAACATTTACTACCAATCTAAAAATGGAAAGAAATCATCTTTTTGTTTATAGGAATACTTGACATGGCCAAAGTACACGGACCCTGAAGGGGGATCTCCCGGTCTTCTTTATACGAGCGGATAACGTGAAACCAACAAGCAAGTTGTAAAATCATTGTTATAATGGTGAAATGGTGTATTGCTGGTGGTTGCAGCCATACTGTGACAACGGATATCAGTTTGCGCTGCTTTCCTGTGGATGATGTAAGAATTGCCTGGATCAGAGTGGTTCTTCACTACTGTCTGATTTTACTCATGATAGCAATACTCTGTTTATATGCATCTGCAGTGGTGGGCAGCACTAATCTGAAAATTAGTTCCACTAGCCCTAAAACACTAACGCAAATATTTAGGTCCCCTAATTCTAAAGCACTAACACACTGAAAGTTTTAGCAAAAGCTAAGTCTAAAGCATTAAAATAACCCAATAAACTCATGAACATTGTTCAACAGACAACATGAGTCATATGTTGCCATATCATTGACATTCCACAGCTGTATTTGGGTTCATATATTGTCACCTGGTGGATAAGTGACACATATGAACAAAATGTGACAGCGTTCACCCTCAGCTGTTAACATTAACGTTGATCAATAACATTTATAAACCTCAGTTAGTGCTTCTAAATTTAGCCTCTAAATTTAGCAACTGCTAATCCACTAATAAATTTTAAAATTAGCAAAAGCCGTAAAGCACTAATCAGGAAATTAGTTCCCCTATTAGTGCTTTAGTGCTTTAGGGGAACTGTGCCCAACACTGTACATCTGTTTCTCATCGTCATCACAAAAGAGCAGTCTGAGGTCTGGTTGGTTCCTGATAAACCTGGGGTTAATGATTCAAGTCCTTACACTGGATGAGGTACCACAAATCTGAGGTCTAAATCAACTCAAATCCTCAATACCTTTTGGCAGACTAGAGATTAAAATCAGCATGTTAACAAAAGAAAGACAATAAATATAAAGACTTTCTGACAGCTTCAAAGTATGGC